ATTGTTCCGGTGGGTTTTTTATGAGTTATCCTGTGTGGTAAGATGACCACATCAGTTTCCTCTTTTCAAAATTTGGTTATTCACCGAAAATTTTCTTTCCGCCTCTCATTTTTCAATAGTCCCATCAGTTTTAGTTCTTCAAGGATACTTTAGTCACCCACGTTCTAAGGTATTAATTTTTTTGAAGCCCTCCCTCCCTCCCTGTTGTCATGTTGTTTTTATTTTTGGTTCTTCAGGTTCTGAGAACCGTTGTTATTTCTTAAAGTAATGTTATGGTGGGAAAATTGTTATTTTTTGGTCTTTTTTCTTATTAGTTTTATTTAGTCTTTATTATTCGTATTTTTCTTTCTTAAAAAAAAAAATCTAGTGTACAAGTGTTTCATTTTTTATGTTGTTATAATATGTACCGCTAGCCACCCCGTAGGGTGTTGTTGTTGTGGTGGTCATGATCAATTCACACATTTTAGCCCAGTTCTTTTAAACAGTTTTTCTCAGTCTATTTCCGTGAGTACCATGGGATATTTCCAACCTTTGTAGCAGGGCTACGAGCTAGGAGTACCAAGTTCAAGTCACCATAACAAACATCTCACAAACATCTCAAACAAAAAATGATCTGAGGCCGGCTCCATCAGTTTGATAAACTTCAATTTATCACGTCGAGTGCCTAGCAACTAGCTGTACCTTCTGACCCACCATGTGGATCCTGGACTAAAGTTGGTCTTGAAGAATTGTTTTTTTCAAAGACAAGTTGAGGACTTCCGAACATTCACACTGAAGTATCTTGCTGTGCGCGATGAAGTTGCTGTGCATCTTAACAAGTCAAATTCAACCAAGATGAGATATCTGAATTCGGTCGGAGCTTCGACCCAATCACAGCTCAAAAGGGCATACCTCCTCACTATTGAAGAGTTGCATATACCCAGATCACAAATATGCCACATCAAATCAAACATCGATCATTGAAGGCCACTATGGATTCTGACCGCTTTGATAATGACTCATTCTTGTCTATTGCCCTCACCACAGCTCTTGAAGATACTTTCACCACCATAGAGTCACACC